ATCACTTCCCCCCCTTTCCCCTTGTTTTCTCAACAGGGCAAAGAGGGGAAAGAAAATAAGATAGACCAACCCTTGTGGGTAAAACAAAAGCAGTTTTAATATAAGCAAAGCAAAGGTCGGTGCACAGAAGCAAAAAAAACCCCAAACAGATTTATTCTCTACTTTCCATGAAGAGGCGTCGTCGGGCCTTCTCAGGAGCAGGGCTCTATACATGTAGTGGTTGCCTCGGAGGACCAAGAGCGACCCCACCTCCTTTCCTTTCTCCCATCTTTATACTGAGCAGATGTCATATGGTCTGGAATATCCCTTTGGTCGGTTTGGTTCAGCTGTCCTGGTTGTGTCCCCTCCCAAGATCTTGCCTACCATGTCCCACTGCAGGGGGGGACATGGCGGAAAAACCCTTGGTGCTGTAAGCTTGGTAAGCACTGCTCAGGAGTAGCCTCAACACCAGGGTGCTACCAACACCCTGCCAGCTCCCAGCATAAAACACAGCTCCGTGAGGGCTGCTATAGGGGAAACCAAATCCAGCTCAGCCAGACCTAGTACAGGATCCTTACGATTCAGCTCTTTGCTGCTAAAATAGTCTTAGTCGTTCTAGATTGTGAATGGCAGAGGAACCAGGTAACACCTTGTTTTTATACTAATGGCCAAAAGAAGCTGATGCTTCTGTAATGGTGTTTGAGAGTGGGATACTTTTAGATAATGTTTCTTGAAGAACAGATGAATATCTAGTTCCCTTAATTTTACTCTCTTGTGATACAAAGTTAAATATTTTTCAGAAGTCGAATGTGAGCTTTCTTTTTAGCAACTTGCTAAACATGAAACTTCCATTAGTGAATTAATCTGAGCTCATTTTTCATCTGCAAACACTATTTCATTTTTGACTATCGCAATTTTAGCAGTTCAGATTTATCCTTAGAGAAAAGCAGAAATGTTAAGAAACTCGGGAGAGTGAATTCAATACCTTAAAACTGTATTGATGTTTCTTGAATTTCTAATCTCCTTTTGACTCTGGATCACTATCTCATCTGCTCAATAATTAGTCTGATGTTAACTCATCTTTCATTTTTATTCGGAGACAAAGATAGGAAATTCATAGAATCAATATTATTTCCATATCTATAAAAATCCAGATAGTAACTGTAAATTAAATCAAATGTGAATTAGTATTTATCTAGGTAGATGCCTGGATTGATAATTTTTAAATTTATACTTTTTTTAAAATTACTATCTCTCTAAGGAAAAAGGTAAAACCAAAAATATATGCATGTTATTTCTTAATTGTGCGATTGAACAGCACAGATGTTTTGAAAGGGAAACAACTACACATCTACATCATCTTTCTTTTGGGAGACCCTCTTTCTTTATGACAGTCCAAAATCTTGGGTTTATATTTCTTAGGTTTAACACAGGAGTATTCATTATAACAAATAGCATGGGAGATTAGTGTTTTGGACTGGGGCAGAGGGAGGTAGGGAATGAACTTTGTTCTGAAAAAGTGCCTGGAGAAAATAGGGGAGTTTAGCCTAATTAATCACTATCAAGTGTTTAGCTAATCCTTTATTTCTGCTAACTCATGTAGGTTTTCAGCTTTTTTCCTTTTGGTGTTTTTTTTCAGGTGTTTTTTGCTTCATAGTATATTGATTTTTAAAAGCAGGAACCTGCAGTAATCTCCAAGTGCTAATAATACAGGTTTCTGCCCTGCTTTAGCTTGGCTGTATCGTGACAAGGGCAGCTAAATTACATGCAATTAATCTCCTGAAATACCTGTTTCTTCCCTGAGTATTAAAGGGGTGTCAGTTCTGGTTTCCTATATTATGCTGGCATAAACTGGCAGTTTGGGAGCTGCTTCTGATGAAGATGCAGCCAGCTCCTCTAGCAGCAGTTCTTGGCAAAATGGGGCAGCATGTTGCTGAGGATTATTAATAATTTCAGCTAATTCCGGGCCACCTTGAGTATATTTAGACTGCTACCTACCTAATGATTTTCTTTTATCCTGAGAAAGGACTGGTATTCCTCTCATCTTGTCAGTATTCAGAGTTAATAAATTGTGTATTAAAAATGTTACGCTCATTCTCTGTGAAGTGCTGTGGTATTTCACCAGAAATTTGTAACTCATGTTGCAACTTAGGTTTAGCTTCATTCATTTGTATGCCTGTATCACACTTCTATTCAACTATGTTTAAAGGATTTGTTAGGGCACATGTTAACCTGTTCTGTTCTTCTGTACCTTACTAATAAAGAAATTGTGATTAGACATTCAAGAAAACTGTATATTAACTGAGCACAGAGTACCATCTAGAGGAGAAGCGAAGCTACTGAAGGGTTTAAGAGAATCCATCACCTTTTGGACGTCCTTTACAAAATAGTTTGAAACTACTTTTGAGTCAAACCTGATGTCTTAACCAATGGGTTCTACATTTACATGTAGATTTATGTCTGTGTTCACTTCTGTTAAAAAATTTGTGTGATAATGTATTAGTACCTGTTGATCTTAGAGAAATAGGAAGCCAGGATTTGTAACTTTTGTAACATCAGTTTGGGTTTAAACTGAAATTGACCATTCAGTATCCTCCCCTCTGCCTTTTTTTTTTTTATTTTCACTTAAGTGTTTCCTTATATGGAAGCATGTGTTTTGAGTATCTCAATACCTATAAAGGATTGTAAATTTATGGATTCATTTTTCGAGTTGAGCATGTTAAGCTAATGCACAGTTTTCATTTTAGTTAACAGTGGATTCAGTTTACTGTATCAAATATTCATGTGCACACATTAACTTCTCTATGCAGATTTGTGGTCACCTCCTGCCCAGTCTTTGTTGGCAAGACCTTTATGGAAAAAATTAAGGAATTATTTCCTTTGTCTTTTTAACAGCTTAGAATCAGGACTTTTGTGTTCATTTCACAAAATTCTGTGACATTTACCTGACTGATCTTGAAGTACTTCAACTTCTTTCCCATAGTTAAATTAATAAGGCTGTACCTCAATATTTAGTCTGATACTGATCTAAAGAATATCTAGTGTAGTAAGATGAACATTACAACTTGTTTTAAGGAGTGAAAGTTTGTCATACCTAGTAGATAACATCAAAGGAAAGAGATGCATGAGAAAAAAATCCAAATGTGATTGAATTTTTGCCTCAGAAATAGCAATTTAATTATAGAAAACTTGAAAATTAATTTATAAGTAGATAAATGGGAATGGCATAAACTGCATCTGTGTTCTTATAGTATTTTTCTTTTGCAGGATCTTCATAATCTAGATCTCATGATTGGGATTGCATCCGGTGGAATTGCTGTATATAGAAAACTCATCTGCACAAGCTTCTATCCCTGGTAAATTCCTTTACTAGTAAAGAAATATATCTGGTCATCTCAATCTTCTTTCCATTTGCTTTAGTATTTATTCCAAAGAAGTCTACAATACATATATTTGTTCATTTGGGGTATCATGGTATTTCCTTGTTTTGAGATAAAAATGAAACCTATTGCCTAGGCTTTTAATTCTGTAAGACTTCTGAACTCCTTGCACTGTGGTCTTGATCAAGTTAATTCACATACAGGTGTGAGTACATGATTAGGAGGATCCTGTGGTCTTAGAGATTTGCTGCTGTTATACTCAATAATATGTCTTTTTTAAAAAAATCAGTATTTCTAGTAAAGCTCAACAGCTAAATGGTCTGATCATTTTATCCATTTAGCAAGAAGATATTTGCTTCTCAGAAAAGAAATGTAAAATGAGTTATTTGGAGTTTCAGAATTACTGGAACTAGGATAATATAATTTAGACAAATTTTTAGATGTCATCAGACAAGACTATATAATGTTAACAAGTCTTGGAGCCTCTGTGATACTGAAAACATTAGAATGCATGATAGTGCTGTAGAAAATAATCTCTAAGAAGAAGCGATGTGCCTAAGAAGTCTAACATGAATGACATTAGAAATTAATTAAGCTGTAATTATTTATATTACTTATGGGCCTTGTTAGCTACATCATACTAAAAATGATAAATCAGAAATTATATGGAGGCTTGGCATTTCCTTAAGGGTTTTGGATTGCATCAGAAAGAATTTCTCCCAGTCTTTATTCTTTTTAAATAAGTATGAATTTGGTTTCTATACTTGATAAAGTATACCTTTATCATGTTATGTATAATTTCCTCGTATAATTTGTATCAGTTTTTCTAGAGAGCATTTTCAGTAAGATGGTATACTGTTCTTACTCATGACAGAAAATTGCATTCCAATGAGTTGTACTTGCTTTTTGCCCTTTAATTATATAAAAAGGTCTTCCAGAGCAATATTCCTTAAATACTTGAGTCATTCCATCCTTTCATTATGAACCCAACCTAACATGTATTTTCTATGGGAAAGCAATAAAATCTGTTTCAATTTAAATTTTAGTGGAAAATGTGCTGCACTGGATTTTTCTTTTTTTCTTTGTAGTGAGTTGTATTCCAACACACTTGGGTGTGCTGTAACCTAATGTATGTCAACAATGCTGTCATACAACAGTGACATCTTGTATTTTTCCATTTCCAGTGCATACTAATGCATAAAAGAATTTTATCTTTGTGCCCTGAGCTCTGCCCTTTCATGTGTCAATCTCTCAGTGACTTTAAATAGCTGCAGGTTTTAAAAACTGCCAGCTGGAGGCACATTTTCTGTCTTCTGCAAGTCTTGTTCTGCCAACTTAGTGACCTGAGGTATGACTGGATAATAGTTATTCCTGGAAACCACACTGATGGCATTTTAAAATCCAGAGCTATATGATTTTCTTAGGAAAGGGAAAGAGAGCTTTACAGCACATAAACCAGGAAGAATTCACAACTTCTGTACTCCTTTTACTCCTGGACAGCACAAAGGAATAAAACAGATTCTAAAACATAATTCAAAAAAGTTGTTCTCATTTACAAAAAGAAATTGAGGGGGGGGGAAAACCCCACAGATTTTTGTTCAAATAATTTCTACTCTAAAACATTATGTTTAGGAAGCAATATTTTCAGCTGACTGCTAATGCAGTTGTTCCAAGCTTTCCTATTCTCTCTCTAAAAATATCTTCTCAACTTGAAAGGAGCAAAAACTCACTACATAGGGGACAAGTTTTTGATATTTTATTTCTGGCCTTTTGAATGAGTTAGTCATAATTCGTCATGCAGGAATGGTGTCCGTTCCCTGTGTCCCCCAAAACAAGCAAACAAGGAAAGTCACCAGAGCAGACTAGCTTGAGCTGTATTTGTAGTATACACTTTTAATTTCTTTTTAGACCTTAAACCAGGATATATTTCTGTAATGCCTGGAGTTTTAATGTATCTTGCTTGGGCTGAAGATGTGCAGGTAAGGAGATGCCTTACAGAACAGTACGTGCCTGAGAATGCAAAAACAAAAATTAAAAAATCGGGTAACTGAAATGGTATTTAGGCTTTTTATGTAACACCATTTGTAGTAAGTAGTTTTTCCTATGGGCTGAGCAAGCTTCACCATTACCGTGGTAGAACTCAAGGTGGCAGCAAACACCATCAAAGCACTTTTCCCAAAACTTGAGTAAAATACTCTACTGCATGAGTGGATGACAACAGTACAACTATGCCATATGGTAGTAGTCAAAGGGGACCAAAAGTTTTCAGGAACAGAGGCAGTGAGAGTGCCTTGGCAAAAGGAGGATTTTCAATCAAAGCAACCTACGTAAGGAGCTGACTGATAAGTCAGATGCAATGCAAGTCAAGACAGGTTTAAAAAATAGCTCTGGTTTTAATGCAGTATTTTATATGCTCTGAAAAGTTATTCTTGGGGGTGCTCGACTGTTTTGTGATAATTTCCAAATTTGTTGTGCAAGTAAAATATTATCTTAATGGCAAAAACATACATTGTCAACATCGGCAGCAATTAAGGCAAAATATTATATGCTATTCAGTGTATGCAGTTTCTTGCTTTGAAAACTTCAGAGAAGCTGCTAGAGGAATACATTCTACATTGCTAGTTCAAATTAAAAAAAACAACTCGCCAGTCTTACATAGCAAATTTGATAGAACCTTTCCTGCTGAATCTTCCAATGGCAAAGTGTAAGACTTACAACTAAAGAAACATTTTTGCTTCAAGTCAAAAATACCAGCTGTGAGTGTGAAGTGCTATGACAGAACTGCCAGTTTGATCAGAAGTGAATAATTCTGTTGCTGCTAAGTGACAATTCTATTTTGACCCTTGTGAATGATAGAAAGACAGGACCCAAAAGATTTATTAATATGTCATGGCTATTGACCATTTTACAGGTAAACCATGAAATTTAATGGTTTGTAAATGTTGCATAATCACTGGACAGATTGAGTGATAAGGACAGCTGAGCCAGCAGTTAGAATAAGAGTAACTGCATCCTGTTTAGATCATGTTTTGGATGTGGCATCTTCAAGCACCTATTAAATCTAAATCCTTTGATACCTTAATTCTTGGGTTTTTTTTCTGGATTCCGCTATATGCGAACATTCACTCAACTTGTAGGCGTAACATTGTAAATGATTTTTAGTTAATGTTAAATAAAACTGTCAGATTAGCAACTCTTCTTTGTCACTGAATTAAATAGGTTTAGTTGTACTTTAAGAAGAATGAATGGAATTGAGAGGGATGCTTTACTTAGAGGAGAGTCAAAGAGACTTAAAGCCCTGATTTGACTTGAAGTGATTATGTGGTCATGCAGTGAATCTTTTTTTTTTTTTAAAAAAAAAGCAGGGGTGAGGGAATGAGAGAGTTTTGGTATTTTGGGATGTTGGCTACCTTTTTTATTGTTGGGTGGAGGGTTTTTTGCTGAGTCTGCGAGGTTACTTTTTGTCCTGTATTTCTGCTGGCTCTATGTTAGAGTAAGAACAGACCATGTCAGTGACTGTATAAGGTGAGAATGACTCCAAAAACTTACTGGTTGAAGTTTAAGTCAAGAAATACAGTAAGAAAGAACCAGAAACACAAAACTTGAGTGGTACTAGTTCAGGCAGAGTAACACTAAGAGTAAGAAAGGATTTATATATAAATGAGTTGCATCTCAGCAAACACAACTGAAAGTTTATATGACTTACTAGGAAGTTCAGAAACTAGAACTTTTAAATGAGCAATACAGATCATTACTGTTTGAGGTAACAAGTCAAATAGTGTAAGTATTCAAGAGTTTGTCTAACAGGAGAGGTGGATGTGATTTCGACTTTTTATTGACTTGCACAGAAATCTGCCTGGTCGCCCAGAAATAATCAGATTCCCGTTTCTTTGTGGCTCTGTAATTGCTGGAGAAAAGCATTTTCAGAAATGGTCACATGTTCGGTTTTCAACCCCTTTTGTGCAGGAGAGGGGATTTTTTCATTACAGTACTGTTCTTGTTTGTAACTGCCCAATATACTCTCCTGTGTTAATGAAGGATGTTGCTCTATAACTGAAGTGCATCTTTGTCATGGGCAGTGGGGAATGAATGATATGCCATTGTCCCAGTTCCTGACATCAGTGCAAAAACTGGTAAGAACTGAAGTGTCCTTCAATATTGTTCATACCTGATGAGATCTAAGGTTCTGTGAAACAATGAGTTGATGAGAATATTCTGAGACTTTTAGCAGCAACATTCCAAAACCCTTTCATTTTTTTTTTCAGGCAGATATGACTTGATCAGACCTTAAATAGCTTTCCCAAAGCATCCATATGATTCCAGCTGATCACAGATTTCTTTTTCCAAAATGTGTAGGTTTCCAGTTATTGAAGTCTAAGTATTGCAGAGAAAATTTAGACATTTTAAACAAATCTTGTTTTGCTGTAGGAAGGTGCGTGGGTACCTAGAAGTTTGTTTAATTTAGTAAAACTGATATAAGCGTATACTTAAAATGAAAATTGCTTGAGCACTAATTCCAATTGTAATCCTTAGAAAATCTTTATTCATACTATGTATACGTAGAAAAAGAGGTGTTCAGTTCGGTATAAGATTACCACAAATTATGTAGAAATGTTATTAATTGAAGTGAAAAATTCATTTCTTCAGTTTTCATCCTTCTACAATTATGATTTTAACTACAGTGTTTGTTTAGTTATTAATACAAGTACATGATACTTTTCACTATGAAGCCAATTCTGTGACATCTGTGGTAAATTTCAGATGTTGTATGATCAAACCTGTCATGTCATTAGGTCTTAAATTTTGTTCCTTTAGTCACAGTTGTCATATGATTCTTAAGTTATACAAACTTGACACATTTAACATTTGTGCAGCTTAGGAAAGGATGTCATCGAGTCTTTGCTGCAAGAATAGATTTGGTGGGAGAGAATTGCTGTGTGAACTATTTAAAGAGTAAATGAGGAAGAATCTCAATTTTAAAAAGGCCTTTCCTTCTTAACTAAAATTTTGCCATTGAGTTTCTTGACATCTATTTGTCACTTGACACAGGAGGTGGCTGCATATTATTCACGGAATATTTAACAACTATAATCCTTTAGGCTCACTGTACACAGTATTATTTTTCCTTGAATTATCCCTCTAAACATTGTTTAGTATTTCATTGTCTGCTTCTTTCTTTTAGGGTGAACATATTAAAAATTTCCTTTAAAAGGAAAAAGTTTTTTATACAACAACGGCAAAAACATGTAAGTAGTCATTTAACTTTAGATTGCTCAAGTGGTCATGTTCAGTTATTTTGCCTTAGATGTTAAGACAACAAAATGTTGATCAAAAGGCTATGTTGTCCTAACTTGCTATTGAAATTGTTTTGTTAACTTGCCCTTCCTAATCTGGTCCTCTTATCCTTGCTCTGTTTTCCATTTTTGTTTCCTTTCCAACACTGAATCCTTCTACATTCAGTCTGTTGAACTGTATCTTTCCCCTGCAACTTTCTTCCACCTTGGAAACTTGGAGAAATGCAGAACTTCATCCTTTCTCTGCCCTGTAGAGTTCCTCAATGCAGTGAATCTACTGAACAGCTGCTTATCACATCTGGGAGGACTTTGTGAGGTCCCTTCTTATGGGGCTCAGAGTTCTGCAAAAAAGGAAGGTTCCTGGAGAAAAGGAGAGCTCTGCAGCTGAAAGACATGAGGCTGGAAAGGGGGTTAGTGCACCTCCTGCTGCTTATAACATGGAGGGCTTTAGAAGGTGGAAGAATATGTGAAGATAGTTGATAAAACTGATGTAAATTTTTTTCTGCTGTTAAGAGTTGTCTTCATAATGCTGTGTGCTTTTTACAGAACAGTTGTAATATTAGTCTATTTAATAGGGAAAAAAAAAATTCTTGATTATAGTTTTGTGCTGCCACAATATGAAAAGATAAATTAAGATATCTTTTTACAAAGAGAAAAGGAATATTTAATATGACAGAAAAAACACAGAAATTGGTAACCAACAGGTACATAAATATTTTAATTCAGTTAGGACAGAACTCAGATAGTAAAAGGTAAGTGTTAACTTATACCTGAACTTTTGAAAGGCTCTTTCTGGTAGTAAGTGAGCTCTTAAACTGATAGGAGGTGTGTTACGAGAAGACCTCTTGACCCACATTGATTAGAGGGTATGCTAGTTAGGCTTTTTTTACCAAAACCGAGAATGGTTTAATTATTTTTTGGGGTTTTTTCTTCCCCAGTTTGGTGGGTATCTTCCAAATTTGAGGAGAGTGGATGTATGTACACATTCTTACTTCTCAGGTCTCATGTAAACAAAGTTAGTATCTAGAGATAGTATTACTGCACTAATGCTCACACACACATCATGAACAAAGAATACTGTTTTCTCTTAAGAGAGTGTGTCCTAACTCACCCTAGAGGTGTCTTCATTTTTTTTTCTAAGCTGTAAGTTTCTAAATATATTGGTTATATGTAAACCTGTCTCAGTCTGTTTATATGTAATCCACTATATGAAGAAATGAGTGGTTGTCAAGCCATTCTACTAGTTTGTGAGTGTGACTGTGTTTGTATTACACTGCAAGTGTAATATGATTACACTGAAGTATTGCCTCCTTCTAGATCTGAGGATTAGAAGTTTACTGATAAGCAGTTATTTTAAATCTAAATATCTTCAGCTATATGAATATGAGCAAGCTTATAGACAGCAATTTTCAAATGTGTCTGAGAATAAATAAAGGTAGAGAACTCAGAGTCGTCAGTAGCAGTGAATAGTAAAATAAGTGTACTTACAGGGTTTTTTTTTGATATGGAAGAGTTAAGTGTCAATATTTAGCAGTCTCTGGATATAAAGAACATGTAAAATATGTGTGTTGGTTGCATAAAGACTGCTGCCAAATATTTAATTTCCCTTTCTGGAGACCTGTGTGACCTTTGAAGAGGACAGCATTCTTAAAGTTTGTTCAATTATGCATTTGATAAACAATGACACTTCAAGGCCATTGATTCTTTTAACTAATCTTTAAGTGATCATAGTTCTTTATTTCATAACCCATTGAGATTTTAGTAATGCACGCTGTTGATGCTTAAAGAGCCACAGAACTGTAGGAAAAATAAGGCCAGCCACATGACTTTTTTATGCTTTCTGAGTAGATATGAAAAAGCAGACCAGGTGTGCTTATTGAATCTCTAGATATATCCATCTTTGTCAGTTAGCCCCCTTTTCTTGAAATACAGGGCAGCAAGCTTGCAGTGCTTCAGTGGTATTGCTTGGAAAAGCTTGCTGTTGCAGTCCAGTGTGAGTGAGGCAGCACCTGGACTGCTAGGGGTTTTCTCCAGACTAGAGTCACTTGAAGGGTTTGTGAGGGCAGATGACTGCGGTGGTGTCAGGCTTTGGACTGATCAGATTTTTACTTGGAAGTACAGGAGAAAATAGGTAAATGAGGCTGGAAGTTCAGGAAGATGGAAGAATGTGGTAAAAGCAGAGCAGGTACTACATATTAATAGGTAAGGTTTTATTAAAGATGGCAATAATACTATAACATTTCAGAGTTTTGTATGTCATATATAGATTTCTTTACAAAAATCTACAGAAGGTTCTCAAAGGCTATGAATTTGCAGTCATCTGAGATGTGCCATGTTTCATTGATTTATTCTCCTTATTTCTCTTATTCCTTTTTAATTTCCTTATGTCCCTGTTCTGAAGACTCACCTTATCTTACTCTCTCCCTGATACACACCTCCTCTTTTACCCTCCCACCACTTCAGTCTGTTGATCAGCTACTTGATAGAAATATGCAGTATTTCTGTTTCTATTGAAGAGCTACATAAGGACTAGGGAGCAAGACTGATGAATCAGTGAATGCCTGATGCTATAAAAGCTCATGATACCTAGACTTAATGAAGGGTGCAAGATTTAAGGTAGGAATAGGTTTACAGGCAACTTTTAAAATCTTTCAGAAATGAAATTTTATTTCCAGTGTGCTTATCTAATGCCTAAAACCAACTTCATTTTCTGCATATTAAAATATATTTTTACCTGCCATGCTATAGGTATTTTCAAATTCTCTGTGAATGGAATAAGCATCCATCTGATGCAAAGTTCTCCCCTGATGCTGAGATAGCAAGACACTCAATTTAGATACTGAGAATTGTTCCCTTTAATTTAATGGCCACAAATTCTCTAATCCTAATTTCCTGGTAACTATTAAGGTACCTTTCTTTTTGGAAGTTGAGTTGATAAGTATGATGGGCATATTAGATCCTTTGATCCCTCTAGACCTCTCTTCACCTTTAGAACAGTGCACAGATTTAATAACATGACTTGCAGGTTGGCCTGTTAGTGAATGAGATAGTTATGTTAACAAAAGATTTTGTCAATTTAAAAATTGACCAAGTTTTTCTGAAAGTATGGGTCCTAGTTTAAGTTCATATTTAAACTTTTAGCCCACTTAGAAGCTGCTAAGAAAGTTCTGTGAAAAGTTCTGTGACAACAGTTAGGAAGAACACACTTATGATGTAGGCAGCAAGACTCATTACTATTTTCAAACCTAAGTTTAAAACCAGAATATTAGGTGCACTTAATTCCTTATCTTTATGCTACAGCTTTTAGGTATAATTGAGGTGTTTGGATAAATTAATTTTTGTGGCAACTGGAAGGCCAGTGCTCTAGGCCAGCAAAAATATCTATACACTTTCTCTTATTTGTCTTCTGGAGTACTAAAACACCTGAAGTGGTATTCAACCAACAGAGAGTATATCAGAAATGCCATTTGTCATTAAATCTTTCAATGATATATGCTTTTTACACTGCAAGAAATTTTGAATTAAAATTTCAATATGCTTGCACACTTTATATAAGCTAGTTAGAAGCAACTATGTTGAACTGACAAAGATGAATTGGTTGCAGTATGCATGAAGCTCAAATAACAAACCCTACTTCCTAGAAAAATTAAAAAGAAAATAATTTACTAGGTAGAGGAAAAACATGCCTGAAAGATTGCAATCCATTAAATGTTTTGCAGTACCTGTGTAAAATTGAGGCAAATCCTTTTTATCTTTGTCTTGAAATTCTCATTGGTTTTCTAAAATAATTACTTCAGTCATAGATTATTCTCTGAACTAGCTATAAAGTGATTTGAAGAATGTGGCATTTGTAAAATGTTGCCTGGAAATAAAAAGAATACAAGAATGTATTGGGTATAGCAGCCAAAATAGTCTGTAGTTACTTCCCAGCAGGTTTGTTGCTGTCAACAAACAAAAGAACAATGGCAACTAGAAATCAAGATGTTACCTAGGTGGGATCTCTCTTTATTGCTAGACTGTATGACAAAGACCTTCATTAGATCTTTGAGTCTTAATTTAAAAAAAGGCTTTGCAACCCAAATCCTGACTTTCTCCAAAGTATAAGCTAGAAAGAGAACTTTACTGAGATTGTTGCCTGCATAATAATATGCTGAGATGTCAAAATTCAGTCGTAATTCAGAGCAGCTGAAAAAGATGACTGATGAAATTGAAAACTTGCTTTTTTTCACTGAAGTGCTGAGCTGTGATAGCGATTAACTCAGGTCTCATGTTATCTTCCTTCTCCCTCTTTGCTTTTCATTCCACTTTCTTTGCATCAATATCTGTATTAACTAACCAAAGCTGTTATCGTGTGCAAAACTCTTGGGATCTGAAATAGCTCAATAAGTGCTACAGTTGAGGAGGGCATAAGCATGGGTGACACAATTGTATTGCTCCTGTGTTTCACTGGCACTTTGGCATTGAAGTTACAAGCAAGAATTTGCGCCAAGACACAGAAGGTTTGGATTCTGCTTCCTTCAGATCTCCTCGTTGTGACCTCATGTTATCATTCAGAAAGCAGGATTGGATTTGAACAGAGTAGCAGCAGCTCCAGTCCCATGACAGCTATTTTCTTTCCCCCAAGATGGACCGCTGTTAACGTCTTTAGTATATTCTAAAAGACTGTCAAACAGATGGTTTTTGCATAGTAGGGCTCTTGAAAAAATATTATTGAAGTTTGAATTCAAAGGTTGAGGGTATTTTTTTTTCCTTTTTACATGGCACCCTTAATGGAATGTTTTAAACAGTTTTGTTTGTCATAAGAGGTCAGGATCTGACTGGAAACCTGAAACTATATTTAGCTGTTTAATATTACAGTTGTATATACAAAATCTTTACCACTCTAGGCTTAAATATTTCATTAACACTGTAAGAATTAGTACTGCTTAAACTTCTAAAGTGTCATTTTGCAGTTAAGAATTTCATATAGTCACAGGGTTATTTTAGCCATCGCCAGCTCACAGTCTACTATAAGCTGTTTTATTTCCTAAATGCATTTTTCCTATTTAAGCTAAAAGTAATTTTATTGTTTATGAGCTTGTTTACAGTGTTTGATCTGCTTGTATATATTGAAACATGGTATTACCTATTGTTACAGAATGAATCCAGAGAGCATATTGTTGCCTTCAACATGTTAAATTACAGAGCATGCAAAAATCTATGGAAATCTTGTGTAGAGCATCACACATTTTTTCAGGCAAAGAAGTCACTACCTCATGAAAAAAAGATACTGTCACATTATTGGACCCTGGGTTCTAGAAATCCAGCAAAGTAAGTATTGTGCGAAAGCGTGTTTGCTTTGTAATGGGATTGGGAGGATTTGTGTGAGTGATAGCTGAAGTTGAAGTGGCAGAATTCAGTTCTGCCCACAGCTGTGTCCCAGTCTGAATGTGAACCATTTGACAAGTTATATAGTTGTGGGTTCAGTTTCTGCAGTGTGGTGTCATTAGAATAGAACTTTTCTTACAATTTCGTGAAAAGGTGTTTGAATATAAGTAAGTTTTACTGGTATTGTTTCAACTTGTTGTTTTGGTTTGAGGTATAAAACCACTTGAAAGTAAAAATGTCATGTAGCTAATGATCTGATAAGAGAATTTACAGAACATGTTTATTTTGAACTGTTTAGCCCTTAGTGTCATATGCACACTCTTTTTAATATGTTAGAGCAATTTCTGGAGTGCATCATACCAACCACTGATTACTGACAGAGATGAAAAAATTTGTCACATCCAAGCATTTGAGATACCACTTTTGTGACACTTCTAATCTTTTATTTGCCTCATTGGGTTCTGCTAGTCATGGAGCTGGTAGTTTCATAGTGGCATCTAAGATCTAGTTCCCCAAAAGTAAAATTTCAGCGCCTGTCATTTTGCTAAATGAAGTTGGGATTGTTCCTTCCTGTATGCACCGACAGGGCCCTAATGTCATTAAACTTCATCTGCCAGTTTATTGTCTAGTCACTTGACACTGTGATTTCCTTCTGCATTTCTTCACAATTGACCTTTATTTTTGCCATCCTGTGTGATTATCTTCAGCAAACTTTGTTCACTCTTTTCTCTAGATCTCTAGTGAGTATGTTGAGCAGAAGAGCCCCAAACAGATATCCCTCTAAGACCTCACTGCTAATCTTTTTTCCCCTATAAATCTAGAACATTTTTTTCATATTCTCTCTTTTATGTCGCAAGTTGTGAGAGGGGACATGACCCAAGTGAACAGGTAATTCCTCCAATTGAGGACTGTATTCTCTAGCTCCTTAGTTTCTTCATGGGCTTAAGTGACCTTGCAAATATCTTTTTGAAATCTTGAGTAGATGAAATCACTAAAGTGGGAGGTTATACTCTAGTAGTTCTGCCCTTTCATCTTGGAAGCTTTTAGTTTTTGGTGTCAGTCCCAGTGATTTCTTTCATTATGTTGAATTGTTCTGTTTGATTTATCAGGAATTCAGCTACAAATGTGTCATGTCATGTGTCGTCATCGTCGCATGTTCTGTCCCCACCCTCATACTCCTGAAAAAAATTCTGTCATGAAATATATCAAAAATCTTTTATATTAATAATGAACAAAAAAGAAAGTCTTATGTAATCTTCTCTGAATGTTCTTTTTGGTTTTGGAGAGGTTTTTGGATTTGGAGATTTTGGAGGGTTCTTTAGTCGCTTGATCATCTGTAGTCTCTTTAGACTCTCGAAACCTGTTCTAGTGATTTTTAGAAAAGTATTTTTCTATTTTCTGTTTGTGAAGTTTTTGCAGTGTGTTCCCTTAACAGTTTTTAACTTTACATTTAATTTGTCAGACTGATTCTCTCTTACCTGTTTGGATAAGATTCAACTTTTGAATTATGTCATCATACTTCAAATAGCTTCCCAGACTTTGGTGGCTGGCTGACTTTTCATACTGTCGTGTTTCTTTAGATACCACAGAAATTCATATCAAGTGGACTAATATTTCTTGTAAATGAAGTAGTTAACCCATGAGGGCTGTCCAGCAGTAAGAAGGCTGATAAAATACTATGTTTTCTGCTGGAGTGGAATTCCATATTTTCACCTAGCAATAGATCATACCCAAAGCAAGTGGAAAAAAAGTAGTTGTAAAAACAGTAATTTAATTTTCTAAAATTTTGCAGATCCAGATTTTGAGAATGAGCTCCTCTATGGAGTGATATGAACTTGTTCTTACCATAGTGAAGGTTTAGGGGAGGTGACTTTCTCAAAGCTTGTAGGATCATCATGTCCTGGAGTCCTTTTTCTCTCAAATTTACCAATAGATTCAAAATCCATATACTTGTCTGTACATATGTATATACAAGCATTGCACAGCCCTTGTTATGTTAAGAAAGAGAACAGTATGAATTGCAAAGGGTGCCAGTTTAGTATCATTCCAGTTTTTAACATTTTATTTTTGACAGATTTGCTGTTACAATTTCTTAGTAGCTTGTAGCATGCAGGATAGTTCTCATTGTTGAACTAAGTTACTAAGAAAGACTTCTTTCAAGTAATTTTTATCTTCTGAGGCATTATCTCTGGTGCATTGCTTATTTAGGGTCTTAAGGATTCTGTAGGGAGAGCTGTTCATTGTGATATCTTCCATCAGCTTAATTATATCCTCTGTACTAATGCATTCCTTGGCCTTATTTATGCCAGCATCGAGCATGAAATTTAGGATCTATGTGAGGAAGAAATAACTCGGCAACCTTTACTATCAGAGACTGCTAAAGTACGTAAGAAGCAACGGTAATTTTGGACGACTTTCAGTAGTTGCTATCAACTTGGTCACTGTCACTCAGTAAATTATTTTCTCAAAAGATTTAAGAAAACTTGTTCACAAGGCACTTCCAAAGTCATCTGTCATATATTGAAAAATTTTACTTTCCTACTTATTTGTGATTATGAAATGAGCTTCCATGTTTCTTTTCAAGGATGGCTCTGAGCTCATGTGGAAGCTACACAACCAAAAAAGGGATTTTGCATTTTCCCTTATTAAAGGGAGCAAAAGTTTGCATTGAGTAAAACAAAACCAACCAAGCAAAAGACCACCCCTACAGAACAAAAGACACACACAAAACCCCCACTAACCATACCATACAGTCTGGAGGTTTTAAGATGGACTTGTCTTGAATAGTTTTTTTCATTCAACTTCTGTCAGCCTTGAAGAGGGTTACATTCAGGTTTTACCACCTTAAGTATCACAGTTTTTCCTCTGGAATTTGTGGCTTTCTTTTACTATGTTCTTTTACACTTGTGTGAGGCATCCTAGCATTTATCGCATCAGTTCAAATAGTTGAACTCTTTCAACCCTTTAGTACAATTCCTTATTTGCACATCTCTGTGCCCTTCTCATTTCTCTTAGCTTAAGGCGCTAGTGGAATTCCATTTAAATTAGGCTGCCAGGTTTCAATTAATCACCTTATTCTAAGGGCAGGTTGAATCAGATTTCCCAGATTCTGCGAGGTAAGTTCATTCAACATCTTTGGACTGAACACTGAATAATGTCTCCTAGGCACTTTCTTATTTCTTGCTGAAAAGCTGAAAATGTACCTATTTTTTCACAAAGTATAACCTCAGTAATAGCTGGGAGTAACTGTCACCTCAAGATATTACAGCCCATTCCAGAAAGTCATTGGCAGCCTCTCAGTATGTTTGCTGAGAAATATCCTTGTATTTGACATCTGAAAAGCAGCTACTTGGAGTTCAGGAGATAATTTGTTATGGACCTTAACTGAAATATCAAGAGAATATCTTGTTAAAGTGGTCAGGGTTAGAGGTTTGCGTTTAGGGCTCTGGCTTCCATCACACGAGTTACACTGCACCTCAAAAGTCACCTGCATTGGAAAATGCATGAACAGGCACTTGTAAAAAAGGAAAGCTGATTAATGCAAAATATGCGGAATTCTTCGTGATGCATTTTTTTGTAAAATATCCTTTTTTTCCCACTTTCCCTCTCTGCTCTGCTCATGTAAGACTTCTTTGAAAGAAGTCTTTGTTTTTGTAGACCAGAGCAGTTGGTGCCTTGTCACTGGTATTCAGAAGACTTACAGAAATAGAATAGATAATACAGGCAAAAGCTTTTCCTAAGTTCATGGACTACTAAGCTTAAAAACATACATGGGTAACTGATTTTTATATGTAGAAACCACATATTACGTTTTCCCTCTTCATTTTTTAAATTGGGAAGAGATTTAAAAGTACACGTTTAGAAGATGAAGGAATTAATTTGCTTTAAAATCATGAACAAGATATGTAAAATACGTAATGTAAAAAAAGGTTTGGGTTGTTTTTTATTTGTATAAACAAAAAGCAGGACAATCTAAAGCATACTTAAGGTTTGGTATTAGCATAAGTAATATCCACAGCATAAACAACTTTTTTTATGCTATTTAAAATTGTGACATTTCAGCTCTGTAGTAAAGTCCTTGCATATTCTGCTATCACAGCCTCCCGTTATGGAGGACTTAGGACTTAGTGATCCAAAGGTGGTTTCTCTGTAATTTGTAAGTTACTTCTTTTCCATGAGAAATCCTAGGCCTGTAACCTTGAGGATGAGCAGCTTATCTCTGCTTGTTTTGTGGAATGCTGTGTAAAAAAGATACATAAAAGTTAGTTTATCTCTGTTTTGATCTACTTCAAAAATTTCTTTATAATGTAAAATTCCATTAGTAAGGTATTTTTATTGTTTTCCTAGATGAGGTTCTGGTTCTGATGCAACTCTTACCTTGTCAGGTTCTTGTCACAAGAAGCAGTCCCAACCTGGAGATCCCCTTTTCATGTCAGATGGTTTATTCCTATATAATACTATGACAGTTTCTTCCTGTAAGGAACACATCACTCAAATGAGGCTTCCTTCTGGAAATAATGAGTGGTCTGTTGTAGCTCTTATTTGCTGAGGCAGCAGGTAGTTGGCCAAAGTAGTGCTGTGCTCAGTGAAGCCATTAGTGAATTGTTACCCCTTTATAAGTTTTAGCAGGGAACACCTAAAATCTTTTGCCTGTATCTGAACCATGTTTTGTCAGGCACTCAGTTCAGTGCCAATAGGACATACCAAATTTCCTGTTTTCCCCTCCATCTTCTTAAACACAATTGGGTTAAAAATAACTCTCAGAAAAAAGTTATTTTTACCCAGGCTTGTGATTAGCATTGTGTCAGGGATTAACAAATAGTTTTATTGTCACAAGCGAAGGACAGCAAATGGGTCTGTCAGAATATAAATGCATAAATAAGGAGGGGTAAACACAGGGAACTCTTTAAAACACATGAACTATAAAATTTGCTTTCATTTTATTCCATTTGCTTTCTATGCAAAATATTTCACATACAGTTTATTTCTTTTCAGGTCTGTAAACAGCCAGCACTGCAGAAAAGTTATAGGTGGGATGGTTTGGAACCCATCTATGAGACGATCTTTATCTGTTGAGCATCTAGAGACCAAAAGCCTTCCTTCTCGATCACCTCCTGTTACCCCTAATTGGTAAATCCAGTTTCAGCCTTTCCTATACCTTCCAGCCTCTTACTTTTCTAGTTGTGTGTACTGTAGCAGAGTAATTATGTAGTGTATACCTATATATTTAGTCATTGTTATTCTGAAAATATGTATGGTGACAAAAGAGTGGGTGTCACCTCAACTTTAGCAAGGCTTTTGATACTCTGCCAAAATTTTATATCCAAGTCAAGACATTATGTTCTGAAAAGGTGAACAAGAAGATGGTTTAAAAAAAAAAATAATGGTTGGATGACTGGACTCAGAGGAGTTGTTAACGAGTCATTCTCTACCTGGAGGCCAATAACAAGTGGAGTACTGCAGGATTCTAGCTTGGGACCTGTCCTGCTTAACATCTTTATGACCTGGAGGAGGCAATGGAGTGTTTGCTCAAAGTTTTCAGATTATACCAAACTGGGGAGATGAGTTAATAAGCTTGGGGGCAGGGCTACTATCCAAAGCGACCTTAATAGTCCGGAGAAATGGGCCAATAGGAACTGTAAGAAATTCAGTGAAGACAAATACAAAGTCCTGGGAAGGAAGAACCCAGTGCAACAGTATTGTTTGTGATGAAACTCTCTGCAAAAGGACCTGGTAATCTTTGTAGGTAGCAAGTTGTACATGAGCTGTCTGGTGTGCCCTGGCAGCAGAGAAGTCCACAGCAACCTGGCAGTATTAACAGAACCATAGATAGTAGAATGAGAGAAACAAAGACACTGACCAACTAGAGTGAGCTCAGCAAAGGTTACCAGCCACCGAGCTAGTCAGAAGGCTGGAGCACTTACCCTATAAGGAGAGGCCGATACAACTGCACTTACTCAGCCTGGAGAAGAAAGGGTTTCCCAGAAGCCTAATAACGACCTAGCAATACTTAGGAGGCAGCTAACTAGATGATGAGGCCAGAGTTTTCAGTGTTGCATGATGAGAGCATGAAGCAACAACCATGTGTTGAACAAGAGATGCTCTGTCTGGCCTTAATGAAAAACTGCTCCACCACAAGGACAGTTGAGCAGAGGTTGCTTAGAGAAGCTGTGCAGTCTCCATCCTTCAAGTCTTGAGATCTTTTGAGGTCTTTTGGATAAAGCCTTAAGCAGCATGATCTCATCTCAGTTGACCCTGCTTTGAGCAGGAGGTTGAACTCAGATAACCCCCATAGGTCCCTTCCAACCTGGATTATCCTATGATTAGAACTTTAACAATATAGATAGCATTTTAGAGAAATGGGGAAAAAACATCAGTTCAGTGTACTGAACCTAGCAGCATGTGATTGCCTATTATACCATACAAAATGTTTAAAAATTTAGTATTTAAAGTAAAACCTGTAGGCCTGTCACAAAGATTTTGGCACATAGTGGAATTTCTATCCTTTTGCAATCTATGATAAAGTTTCAATTATTCTGATCTTAGAACTTGTGTTTGTGTTCCTTATTTTTAAGGCGGAGTCCTAGACTACGTCATGAAATTCGTAAACCACGACACTCATCTGTAGATAACCTTACAAATGAGATTAGTTATATTACTGAAACGGAGGATGTTTTTTATACATATAAGGGCTCTCCAACATCAAAGGACAGTGATTCAGAGTTCTCTCAGAACCGTAGTCCACAGAGGAGGTAAGGACTTCTTCGAACAACTTATTGCCTACTTAGATTTTTTTAAAAACACACAAACCCTCCTCCCCCCCAACAGCTTTAGTATAAAACAGTCATCATTGGTTATAATATTAAAATGATTTCAAACAGATTTCTGTTTGAATAAGCTTCATTTTGACAAATTGCTAAACTGCAAATGCCATGATACAAAATGACAAGTTAAAAACAAACCATCCCTTCATCTATAAACAATTCTCAGCAGTTAAGTTTGCAGTAAAATTAGAGAATCTATTAAGGCATGCCTGTTCATAACTGTAATATCCTGTTTCCTAGTAGCTTCTGCAACACTTTCCTACCTGTTACAAACTTTTCCTTTTTTGGTGGGTGGGGGTAGTGGTGAGACTTATTGAAGTCTTTTAAGAGTTCACTTATGTTCTGCCTCATCAGCTGAAAGAGGTAATGCATTTGAGTAAACAGTAGAACATAATAATGCTGATGATCATTAGTCTCCTTCCTCAGAGGAACTGTAGATTGCTATTCTAAAGGCAGTCTGCTTTTTGCCTCGAGGCATTTTTGCTGTATTCCTTGAGGATCAATTTTGTTCTTCCCTGTATTGGTCTAACCAGTGCTAAGTTTGCTTCCAGGGCTTGAAGCACCCATCTTTGTGTGCTGATTATTTGTTTGCTTGTATATTACGTTTTATATATGGCTTCACTCTTACCTTACCGGGGCATTTCTTAATGACTAACTTCAGATGAACACAATATTAACTTCAGAAATAATGTGCAAAGTCAATGATTTTTCAGTCTCAAAGAGAAAACAGCTACTGTAAAACTTTCAGCTGGGGAGAATACTGTGTATTAAAATGTAAAAATTGTACAAATTTAAAATTGTACAAAATTAATTTGTAATGTTAAAAAAGGAAAATGGTTTCTAGTGATTGCTAGTAACTTTAAGGCAAGATGTATTTTGAGAAGCAATGTATTAATGGAAGCTGGTAGGTCTCATCTACCTCTGTGATAGTGGGCAACTACTAACTGTATCTTTAAACTGGATTTAAACTGTTTTCTTCAAATATTAATACAATAATATTGTTACTACATTACAGCAGAGAGGTTTCTATGAAAGAAGGGAAAAATTAACATGTAACATTTGGAGTTTGTCACTGTGGTGTTTTAAATTTTTTTTTCTATTTTTCTGACTGGGTACTAGTAGTGTCCGTAATAGCTATGGTAATATATAAAAGTGATGCCTTTAAATGTTGTGAATAGTCACAGATAGGAAGCCATGTCTTTCTTGTGTTTTAACATTTACAGATTATACCCTGTTAGAAGTATTTTCTGATTAAAAATAATGAGAGGCAGGCTGTGAGAGGAGATGATGATGGTAGAAACGGTAGACAGAAAACTAAGTTCCCATGCTGTGTTCTATGACTGGTGGATTGTGTCCTGCCAGTTAGTATGTTGGTTTTTTCTTTTATTTTCCTTTTTCTTTTTTTCCCCTGTAGATTTTTTTTTTCCATTCCTTCCTGTTTAAACTATCCTATGCCTGCTGAGAATGGAGTGGGAAAGCCTGCTTTTATGCTGTTTCTTAGTGAGAATAGGATGTTCTAATTTTGAAAATAGCACGTTCATTTATTTTGAGATTACTCTGGAGAAGATTACTGTTATTACCTCATAAACCAAATTTTGTATATGTCTTATCCTCAACATATTCTTGGTTTCCTGCATATGTTTATAATATTTGATACTCTGCAGGTAACTGAAAAAGTGTTTACATAAATCTGATGAATTTAAGTTGAAAGTGTGTGTGTTTTGGATGGAGAACGTAATGCATGGAGTGAATGATCCCTTTACTTCCCTGTGAAGTAAAATGGTCATTGATTCTTTCCTTTTGAACAATTGAGGTAAAATATACAGTAACCATATAAATAAAAAAAGTTTCTTCTCTGCACTGAAGTTTTCGACAGTTTGTCAGTCCACATTCCAGTTTTTCTTCTTTTATAGATATTACTTGCCTCGCTCCACTTGTTGAAAGATGTAAAATAAAGTCAGCTATATATGCATAGTAAGGTCTTTACCTAAATGCTTTATTGAAAGAAGGAATTTTACCCTATCAGCTAAATCTATTTTATAAGAAAAAAAGTTTAACTTGCATATCTTTGGTATTAAATATGGATACTTGTCTTGGACTTCTGCCACACTTGAGAAATATTTAGATATCAACTATAAAACACCTTGCAGTGTACTGATATATCTTTTAAAGCCAACCTACCTACTTTGCCATGCTGGTCTTAGGTGGATTTGAGTTGACATAATTGAAACATGTTATGGAAAAAACAGGTTTGCAATTTCAGTATTTCTTTTTCATTAGAGGAGAGCCAGGCATAGCTTCTCACAGTCTAATATACATTGTCTTTAGAGGGCTGTCTTTTTACCACCTAGCTTCCAGATTGAGACTATCAAAAAAGGTGTTAGTTAATGCTAATTATAACTAGTTAATAACTTTGGTATGAAAAAAATCTGAAACGTTTTTGGGAAGGTACTAGCTAAGAACTGCAAGATCCTGATTTTTAACTGCTGTATTGTTATGTCTGGGACCTCAAATCTTAATTATAAACATGCAGCTGCTTGGTTTTGTAAACTAAATATATTCACAGAAATGTCAGTTTCTGTATATGAAGCTCAAGACTGTGCAAGCTGCAGTTAGCAGAGGATATGGCTCTTCTCTGTTTTTCAGGCTGCCATCAGCTTTTCAGGGGTGGGGTATAGTTTTCAACTGTTTCACTTCAGCCCCTGGGTAAGGTCTTAAGTCCTTTTTGTCAAAACAAGTGGTCCAAGATAGACCTGCCTTCAGACTGATCTGTTGTAATATAGTGCTTTTTGAGACAAATACACAGGTAAAACTTGTATAACAAGACTTGCTGTGTGCCTAATCCTATCAAGGCATGCTTGGAACCTTGGTGGGTATCAGAACTGTAGAAGCCACCACTACTGGCAGTTACATACATGTGCATTAATTTCCCTTATATACATTTTATTGCCTTCTGAAAATACCATGTATAATTATTTTCTTAATAATCGATTTTATTCCATGCTGTGTTTACTCACTTAAGGGAATCAATCAAGTTCTATTTTCTTTCTATAAAACAGTACACAATTTAGAAAACAAATTATGTGGAACAGCTTTTAGTTTAGAGAGAATAAAACATATCAATTAACATTCTTTCTTCTGTTTCTTTAAATGTACTGTATGAACGTGTTAACACCTAGAACTATGTTTACTGTTAAATACTTTAAATGAGCATGCTGGAGATGAGGGTCAAGAGTATTTTGTCAATCATTACAGTGTTTCTCAGAAAAACCCAGTGATTGTTTTAATGTGCTTTATGTGAATATTCAGGCTTCTAACTGAAATTGAGATATATCTTTCAGACTCTGATTGGGAAAAAGAAAATTAGAAAATAGAGCAAATCATGCGCTGAGGTGAACTACAGAAAGCCAGGGCAAGCTTGTGAGTCTTGTGTTTGGTGTAGCTTGACTGCTGCTACCCAAATTATCTAAGGTACTTTCACATTCAAGTACAAATTGAGGCTCAGACATAGTGAAAGGAAGCAATTTTTCTCTCTCAGATTAGTGTCTGCAGAAAAGATTGGAGCTGTCTATTACATATGTATTATAGACAAAAAATTGCTCTAATCCTAAATTAACATATATTAAATAGAGCTTTATTCACAGGGCATGAATAGGTTTGCCTATCTAAGACAACTATCTCAAATCACAGCTGCATACAAAACCTGTTATCAAAGATAGTGTTGAAGAGGACTTGAAGAGGATTTTTGTTTAGCCCAGGGCTCCTTAGCCTTTGTGAAGAAAGGAGCCCTGTCAGTTCTTTCTCCTTTTTGTTGCCCTGCTGCTGTGCATCTCATCTGACTGCTACTGCCAGTGAAAAATTAACACTAACTCAGACATGGAGCCCACACTGAGCCTCCTGAAGTCTCACAGGTTGCTTTCGGTGCTATACCATGCTTTGTTATGACTATGCCTCAGCAGTTCAGAACAGGTAATCTAGTCTATCTTCTGATTATGTGTTGTCATAACTATATTTATCCCATGCCCTGCATGCATATGTATATGATACTACTATGATTTTGTTTTTAAAATTATTTCAGGAATAATATTGAGATTAAACATACTAATTAGTAGGTCACTTATTTGATAACTGTTTTTCAGTTAGAATTGTCTTTCCCTAGTCTTTCTTCAGTTTCCCTGAAGATATTTTTCTTGAGAAATATGCATTTTCTTCTTTGAAGACCAGCTGCTACTGACCTACTACATTTCTTATTTTAAGTAAAGTAGAAAATGTCTCTCTGTTTTGTGAGGTTACATATCTTCAGATATCTTTAAACACTGAGACATACATTACGGAAGAGTTATGAAGTCTTATGGCTTTCCTTTAAAATAGAAAATAAATTGTTCTGTTATGAGGCTTTATTATTTTTAAAGCTATCTCTGTGGAAAAGCTGCTTTAATTTGTTGGGCTTTTTTTTCAAGTTATGTCATACCAACAGGCTACCTGGCATAAATCCATCCTGACCATCTGCTGTCCTGATAGGTAGCCTGCATAGAGCTCCTGGAAGAGGTTGCCTTTGAGAAAAATCCTTCTCTTTCAGTGGAACAGGTTTAAAAACCACCTGGTTATTTTTAAAGGCAGGCTGATGGATTTCTACAGGGAATTCTTTTTGATTGCAGTTTCTCCTTTTTACCTGAAGATTACCACTGTTGCAGTCTGTCTTGATGAAGGTACCACTACAGTTGCTGAATATGGAGTAAGGAAAGCCTTGCTGGTGTAGAGGAACAAGTCTTCATTACTGATTTGCCTTTCCATGACACTAATACAATCTGTATGTTACTGTGTCATTTAAGGGCAAAAGACTACAATGACACTGTTTAAAGACCAGGTTGGAAAGTTGCAAAATATCTTTGTTTTAAGCAATAACCTTCAAGTTAAGTTGGCTTTAA